CAATGCACACCGTTGCTTCCCATGATTCCATGCACACTTCTATTTGCAGGGTTTGAGATAATATGACAAAAAATCATAGAATAAAGATCGCTGAGTCCACTTCTAAATTCTGAACGATCAAGCTGGATAAGTGTAATAAAATTTGTTCCACTCACCACAGACATGTATTGATTTTGTGGGTTAATTCATTAGTTGTGTTGCTGTATTTGCTTCCCAGGTCCGTTTTTGGCACGATTCTTTTGTCTCAAAAATATGCTTCTACATAAAATAAGCAATACTTCTCCACAATAAAAATATTAAACCTCTTCTAAACTTAATAAAAGGAAGAATATACCCATTTCGGCGACAGTAGCATGTACCAGTAGTGCCAGTAGCATGTTTTCTCTGCTCAATTGATGAATTTAATTTTTGTGGAAAGCTTGGCCCATCAGTAAAAAGTTTCCAAATTACGAAATGAACAAAAATACGAGAGAGGTCAACCTGAGGTACCTATATGGATAATATCAAAGCAATCGGACTTGAAAATCTCACTTTTTACCAACAATTACAAACTAAAGATATCATCACAAAATAATCAAATTTAAGAAAGATCTGCCCATAGTACATATATACCAAGTATCGAGAAGATGAAGAAAAAGCAAAACATATTTTTAGCATGTTTGTTCTTGGTCTTGTATAGGTAAGCTATAACATTTGATCTATGTTTTCAAATATGAATGAAACAGTATGCAAAAATACCAAATGAATGCTTTGAAATTTTCCAAATAATGGTTGGTCTTGACAAACATATTTCTGCTGAATGTGCAAGAAACAATATGTGATTTGGTAAACACGTATGATAGTAATTCTGTGCATGTGAACGTTTATAATTGAAAGATGGTCAAATCAGTGGAGTTTGCATGACAAATTTTACTACATTCACAACGCTATTTATCATTAATCAGATATCAGAAATCGTTAATTAAATCATTAATCTGACATTCTTTATTGGAAATCACTCAGATGTCATAAATCAATATTTTAGATTTCATTAGAAAATCATCAATCATTATTCAGATGTCGGTCTAAGTCATTATTCGGATGTTGTCAGAAACCTTGAATCAGAAATCGTTCCATAATTCATTAAACAGATGTCTTTAGAAAACATTAATAAGAAATCATTTCATTAAAATATAAATAAAAATCTTTCATAAGAAATAATTATCAATCATTAATCAGAAATCATTAATTAGATATGAATTAATCTTGATATGAAATAATTGAAATAAGAAAAAGAAGCCGAAAACACAAAGAAGTAATTATTGCAGAACAAAGATAAATGATTTATAATTACAGTATAATTCATTTAATTGTCCCAGTGTAATTGTAGACTTGACAACTTGTCACATATTCAGACTGGACAACCTGTCACATTGCATTTCGGACAACCTGTCACATTTCCAGACTGTACAACCTGTCACATTGCAGTTTGGACATTCTATCACATTTCCAGACTGGACAACCTGGCACATTTACGGACTGGACAACCTCCAACTCCACAATTTTATACAATCTATACTCGTATATATTATTATTAACTCTAAAATTCTGGCCAGGTCTTGCTTGCATAATTATGAGATATGTTTCTTGCCTCCACGAGCCATGGGTAATTGCTTATAAATATAACTAGCTGCTAATCTGAATACGCTAATTTCCTAAATATTCCGTTGTAAATTTCCCTCATGTGCTATATCACGAAAGTGTGACTGTTCATTCTCTGGCATTGCAAATTCATTTACAAATCTTATTCCAGACTATTATGTAAACATTCCTAGCCCAAACAGTAATCTGGTCACTAAACTACCATTAATAGTGTTTATCCGTACACATTGTTTATCCAGTTTATTCTTCCAGTTTTGAATTTCTGTACCAAGTTAGTCTGTGTTAGTCTGTTGTGTCGTGTTTTAATATAAATGTTTGTAACTCAGTAGGAAGTTATCCCTATGTGATCCCAACTGACTGTGCTCTGCGTTTTCACATCTAAAATAATGTATAGCCTATACCACTTCTATAAATAACAGCATGCATTGTGTTTTACTGCTCAGAACACATAAAGCTAATCTGTTGTGCAAGATTGAGCCAATAACTCTGCATAGCGGTATTTGGTGATGTAGGGAATTGGAACCAAGAAGAAATAGCCAAAGTGGATACAGTAGAACGCATGCGACTGGATGTTATCTCGTATGCTCATAATCAATGTGACTGCGTGTTACCTAGTATGCTCATAACCCATTCGATTGGGTGTTACCTTGTATGCTCATAACCCATTTGACTGGGTGTTACCTAGTGTGCTCATAACCCATGTGACTGGGTGTTACCTCGTATGCTCATAACCCATTTGACTTGGTGTTACCCTGTATGCTCATAACCCATTCGACTGGGTGTTACCTAGTATGCTCACAACCCATGTGACTGGGTGTTTCCTTGTATACTCATAGCTCATTCGACTGGGTGTTACCTAGTATGCGCATAACACATGTGACTGGGTGTTACCTTGTGTGCTCATAACCCATTTGACTGGGTGTTACCTTGTATGCTCATAGCTCATTTGACTGGGTGTTACCTAGTATGCTCATAACCCATGTGACTGGGTGTTACCTAGTAGGATCATAACCCTTGTGACTGGGTGTTACCTAGTATGCTCATAACCCATGTGACTGGGTGTTACCTAGTATCCTCATAACCCATGTGACTGGGGTGGGTGTTACCTAGAATGCTCATAACCCATGTGACTGGGTGTTACCTTGTATGCTCATAACCCATTCCACTGGGTGTTACCCAGTATGATCATAACCCTTATGACTGGGTGTTATCTTGAATGCTCATAACCCTTGTGACTGGGTGTTACCTCGTATGCTCATAACTCATTTGACTGTGTAATACCGTGTATGCTCATAAGCCATGTGACTGGGTGTTATATTGTTATGATCGTTGCTGATTTTAAAACCATTGTCCATACAAAATTAAAGTTATACACAACTATTTTAACAGATACAAATCCTGCTGAAGACAAAGGTTTTTAATCTTTATGTTGTCCAAAGTTTATCTTTACTGACAGGGCGCCATGTGTCTTCTTTTGGGTAACAGCATAGTAATAATTTATACAGTCCCTTATCAACTGAGGTCGGGTAAAATGCAGACTTTTGTTTTATTTCACGGAACTTGTTTTATTTTTATCTAGATTTGTTAAATTATCTGAACTTAGCCTTGTTGTTGCACCATCCTTTCCAAGATGGCTGACATAACCAAATGTGATTGCGGTGATACTGGTTCCACACTATCTATACGAGAATTAAGAGACGTGTTCCATGTTCGGGAGCCAAACCAATGTAGCAGAATTGACATTTTGCAATATTTTGCTTCGACATACTTTAGCGAAATGTCCTGTTTTATCACACTTTCTGCTTTTCTGATCTCTTAATGGACATTGACCTGTATGTGGATATTTTCCTCCATATCTGAAACACGACTTGTGTTTTCTGTCAGGCTCCACTCGTATTGGTTTACCGGTATACTGCTGGGATTTCTTATATTTATTCCTTTTCCATTGGCTCTTTTTTACAGACTGGACTGTATTTACTTCTGTTTCTGTCCCAAACTGATTTTTGATACCTCTGGCTTGACGTTCAGAAACTTCAAAAGAACGACCAGAATCTAACAGTGCATCTAATGTTAAATCATCTCTCAGAGCTTTACGACGTAACCTAGTTGACACACATGATAATACTATCTGGGATTTTATCTCTTCATTGACGTGAAAACCACAATTTCTTGCTAGTTGTTTCAATCGGGTAAAATACCGATCCAACGATTAATCAGTCTTCTGAGTAGCATGCCTAAAAACACGTAACATCCATCAATGGAGCTGTCCAGATGAATTCTTTGAATACTTCTAGAATAAACTCTGGGTTTCCTATAACTACTCCCACATGTTTTTGCCTTACTTGGCGGTTATTTACCCAGATGATGACTACACAATACAATAGTGTAACCATATA